TAGGACGTTTTCAACTTTTACTTAAAATCCTCTTTAACTAGGTTCAATGGGATCTCACCAAAACAAAAACAAACAAACAAACAAACAAAAAAAACCAACACACAAATTCAGAACCAGAATATCTAAAGGGGAGGGAGGAATAGAAGGCAGATCAATGTCTAGGCTAATGCCTACTTGGAAGGTGAAATAAGTAATCAAATCCCAACACCACCAGAACCTCAAATCCAGAAGAATTCCTAGAAATATTTTAGTCATTTGGGGCATCCTAGACTTCTTGAGAATCTGATGAAAGTTGTGGATCCTTTTCTCAGGAACATGTTCAAAATTTCTCACACAATTTTGAAGGCTTTATAAAATTGCTAACGTGGACTTCGGATTAAGAACCTTTTGCTGGGTATGGTGGGCATATCTATATAATCCCAGCAACTCAGGAGGCTAAGGCAGGAGGACCACAAGTTCAACGCCAGCGTCAGCAATTTAGAGAGGCTCTAAGCAACTTAGTCTGTCTCAAATTTTTAAAAAGGGTGGGAGGACTGGGAATATGACTTAGAGGTTAAACACCCCTAGGTTCAATCCCCAGTACCAAAAACCAAAAGACTTTCATTTAAACCTCTCATGATTCAGGTAAAGGCAACCAGGTAAGAAGGTAGAAATGCAACCAGGCTTCAAAGTTCTCAGGCACAAAGTTCTCTTACTTCTAGGTAAGTACTGAATGAACTCAGGAATCTCTGAAAAGAAGATGAGCTCCTTTGGCACAAAAGAAACTTGCTGATTATAGAGTTCAGTGGCCATATTTGTACATAAGTCAGTTTTAAATTGTAATTCTTTTCTTTTGGGGGAGAGGCAGGTTCTCTTAGCATTCATGTTTTCCCCAGACCACGGCAAGGTCTTCTATACCCAGTTGCTTCAACTCAGCTCAGATACACCCTAACCAGAATGGGCTCATCTTCCCCCAAACCATTTACCCTTTGAAATCTTTCTGTCTGTAGCACTATGATTATACCAATCAACCAGATCCCAAACTTCCCATTTGACTTCATTTACTTATTTTTACCTGTGTGGTACTGGGGATTGAACCCAGGGCCTTGTGCGAGCAAGGCAAGTACTCTACCAACTGAGCTATATCACCAGCCCTCACTTTAATTTCTTCTCCTTCAATTAAGAGAACTGAAAGTCAGTAAGTAACCTAGTCTTGCAGCTATTGGTTGGGTACTGCCTATGTGATGGGCACAGGAAATACAAGACAAATAACACAAGCCATCCCCAGGGGTCATTGTCATGTGGCTCTTCCTTGATAGTTTCATAGCTACAACTAATGTTCCAGTCTTGTTTTCCTATGATCACTCTTCTGCAACCAGCCCCTAACTGCTCTGACTCCTCCAACCCACTCACACTCCAGTTCACACAATGTTATGTGACCCAGTATTTCCCCTGAAACAATAAATTTGTCATGCAGTTTCCTTAGTAGGAGTATCTCTCCTGGGTTCCTGTTATCTACAGAAGGTCTGCGGATTTTATTCTGATAATCAAAGCTCCAGGCATTATCAGGCCATCCCCCATCTATCTACAAGCACCCCGTAGTACAAATTTGTACTCACCCAAGCTGGCCTTGAAACTAACTGGCCACTCTTCCTGGCCCTATCATTTCTAAATTGGTCTCTCTCTCCCTTTCTGTCCATCCTCAGACTTATAGTTCTCTTTCTACAAAATGTTTCCAGAAATGAGACTTATACCGATATAACATAGTATATATCATAAAGCATTCATTTTGACATTAAATCATACATATTTGTATTCTTTTTTCTTGTTTTCCAAACTGACTGTAAATTCTTTGAGGTCAGTAAAGAAACCTTCTGTTTTCCTTGTTTACTTTCATGTATCCAATTATTTAACAACTATTTCTTGAGGCCATGATTTGTACCCAGCATTTTATCAATACTAAAGGGGTCTAGAGTGCTTGATATAGAAAACGCTCAACAAATATTTGCTTGATGAATAATTTTGCCCCCATTTTCTGGCAAGTAGCATACTTATTTCAGAAAAATGACTTTCAAGCTTTCTTATTTTTAGATCCCTTGACCATAGGAGTCTCATGATTTTCAGAGTCTGTGGGTATCAATTATAGGAAGTGTCAACAATTGTGTTGCAGATGGATTTAGAATATATTCTCTTACTCATATTCTTCAGAATTCAATATAACTTTTGTAATGGCTGATACAAGAATATTATTACCTTTTTAAGGAACATTTTGCTTTCCTTCAATTTGACATAAAATGATGCTACAAATAAATAAAATGGAAAACTATTTAGTTACTTGACATCTATAATAATAGGGGATGTTTCTACAATGCTGGTTTTATAAATAGGTAGAGACTCAGATTTGGCCAAGTATGTTAGGCAAAAATTAAGAGTGGATGGTTTATTGGGATTTGATTTCACAGATTCCTATTGAGGGTTTATACAATTCAGCTTACAAATATGTCCATAATGTAAACATTATAATGTAATATAGATCAAGTAAATACGTAAATGTCACCGTAACTGTTCTCTAGAATAAGAACACACCATAAGTGGTATAGTTCCAGATGTTTACTTAAATTGTCCCTGAAGGGATGGATAGACCATTGGGTAATTGTCATGGTTACTGATGTGCTTTTTATACTGAGATGGTACTAAGGAGAAAATGTACCATCAATCACGTAGCTGCTATCTATCATAATTTGCAGCAAGGATGCTCATGCAGTTTTGGATTTAAAGTGACTGCCAATTTTTGTTTCAAAAGAAAAAAAATGGAAGGGAAGAAAGAAAAAAAAGAAACCTTTAAATCTCTAAAAGGAAAAAAAAATTTTAATTTTAATTGAGCCAGACATTGTGTGAGAAAACTTGCAGAGATAATTTAAAGCTCTGAATAATATTACCTTCTTCCAGAGAGGATTTACTTTTGCTTCTATTTGTTATCTAGGCTAAGGGCAGATCTCCTAAATCCAGCTGAGGATGGCAATGATTTGAATGCGGGCATCAGTTCTTGGGAGAGCTGGTCTTTTCCAGGGATTTCTGGAAGCTCTGCTCAGCTTCTCAAGCTCTCATCATTTTACCTTCAGCAAGTCCCTTCTGAGAAAAAGCAGCCCCAAATGCCACTCAGCTCCCTCTTCCTGTAAATTCCCCCTGGTCCAGTAGTTTTCTAACACCCTTAAACAGGTATCTGGTGCTCTTTGTTTTGTTTGCATTACCCTCCTGAGGCTTGGTGTGAACCGACTTGACAGCCAGAAGTAGAAGCTTCTTTTTATTTTTATTTAGTTATTTATTTTTTGGTTCTAGAGATTGAACTCGGGGGCACTCAACCACTGAGCCACATCCCCAGCCCTATTTTGTAGTTTATTTAGAGACAGGGTCTCACTGAGTTGCTTAGTGCCTCACTTTTGCTGAAGCTGGCTTTGAACTCACAATACTCCTGCCTCAGCCTCCTGAGCCACTGGGATTACAGGTGTCTGCCCCTGCGCCTGGCCAGAAGTAGAAGCTTCTTTACCCCTGCTTTCATTATTGCCATCACTACTCATCTAGCTTTCTAGTTAATTATTTAGTTAATTATTGGGATTCAATAGCTCAATATTTAACTCTTTCTTTCTTGCCCATTTAGATGTGAGAAAAGGTCTCTGAAAATCAGATTCCACTGCCACTCTTGATGCTGTGATCATTCAGGTTATGATTGTGAGCACAGCTTTCTATCTGGATCCTCTTCAGGACATTGAAGCCAGTCTTGAATAGGACTGCGTAACCTAAGGTATCCTGGAGGTGAAAGAGTTTAATAGGAATCTCTGTTCTAGCCTTTCACCCTGAAGTGACAGGTTAAATGCTTATGGAATCCTACAGGAAGTCACAACATCCATTTTTCTAGTACAGTGGAGGGAAGATACCCATGTTTAGCTCCAAGCCAATCAGGAAGCTACTCTTCAACTCCAAAGGGGCTGACCAGAACCCCTCTTATATTCTCAGGGGTATCAGAGACAGTTCATCTGAAGGGGGACAGGCTGGGCTACAGCACAAGGAAACAGAAGAGTCGCTGCCTTTCCCAGAAGAGAGGCAGGCAGCAGATATTTCCTAAGAATATTTTAAGAGAAAGCAAAGTCCCATTAATAAGACTTTTAAGGCTTACTGCTTAAATTAAACTTGAAAATGTGAAAAAGTGAAGATAAAGATGAGTCTCCGGCTTGTAATATAACAAAATAATTTAGCACAGATCAAAACCTGAGTGGGATGCATAGAAGAGAACCAGAAAAACAAAACACAGTCCAGAATAATTTACACCTGGCTAGCCCAGACAACTGACCTAGCTCTGTGCTAGGTATGGTTTGGGGAGGAAAGGGTAACAAATAAATATCCATGCACTCCAACGGCGTATCGCTTTCACAAATGGCATTTTAATCTGGGTGCAACTTCAAATTCTCCAAGAATGAATGATAGCTCTTTAATGGCAAACTGGTAACCTAGTTTTGTGGTTGATGCTTCCTCTGTAAGTTACAACTTACAGGAACTCATGTTCCTAAATGTTACTTGTGTTAAAAAGCCAATGAAAAACTGGAGGAGAATATGCATAAAGCAAAAAAGCTTTTGTTCTAATTAAAGGAATCATGGATGATTTTCTTCTCTGTACGTTTGCTGAACATTCCTTAATGCCATTATATTTTATTTATAAGATAAACACATACTAAAAAAAAAGGGTACAAAGAAGTATCATCATTTAAAATATAATAAAAGCATTAATGAAAACTTTTTTTAGGACTTGCATTTTTTTTCGGAATTAATTCCAGTATCAAAATTAAAAACTTTTAAGTAAGCAGTGTGGACAGAAATGCCATGTGCCTCACAAGAGGGCCTTAGAATTCGATTCTCCTGATTACCAGGTGGCCCTTTCTACTGTTGGTTTTAATAACTTGTTGCCTATTTTTCTACAAAGCAAATGAACATTTTTTTACTCATATTATTTATGAAAAATCTTTTACCTGAAATTTTCATATTCTTCTGCTTGTCGTTTCCACGGACAGTTCTGGATATCTGTGATGATCTGAAGGTAATCATCCTCTTTTTGTCTAAAAGTTAAATATCAATGTAATTAGAAAATAAAGATCTCACATAGTGCTTTCTTCGAGGACACTTTTATAAAATCTACTCATTTTAGCCCTCCTCTATGTCTTTTCTGGAATAAAGTAGAAATTATTAAATACTAGACTCATTTAGAAACATTAGGAACATACAACTTTCAAATAATTATTATGTTGGTTTAGGAATATATAAATTGCACATCTTGTAAACCAAGTCTAGTTTTAAAAACTGTGGTAGCACAACTTGCACATGTGTCTTATGGTCATTTCAACTTGACTTTAACTCACAGACAAATAAATATACACTTTATAGATTTTTCTCAATAATATGTAATCATTGTTTTTCAGATTCTAAGTTGATACATTGACCTTGGGATATATAGCTAAAACTTTCCCAAAACAACCATATTAAGTTTTAACTTTGAATAGTACATTAAAAAAACCATATCAGGCTAAGGGAGGAGACATATATATTGTTATAAAAATCTATAGACACAGGCTGGGTGTGGTGGCACACACCTGAAATCCCAGTGGCTCAGGAGGCTGAGACAGGAAGATAGAGGATTCAAAGCCAACCTCAGCAAAAGCAAGGCACTAAGCAACTCAATGCTGGGGATGTGACTCAGTGGTCAAGTGCCACTGAGTTCAACACCCAGTTCTCTCCCCCCACCCCCCGCCAACACACACACACAAAAAAACTATAGACACAGTTCTACAGTTTAAAAGCACAGAACAGGATCTCAGTTCGCAACAGAGCTCCCTCTATCTTAAGTATTAATTCCTAAAGCACAGAATAGAGCTTAGTCCTTAAGGGTGCTCATGTGAATGAATAAATCCTTAAGTTTTCTTTAGTCTCTTAGTCATTAATTGCTAACTATTAGAAATCAAGTCTGCATGACAAGATGGAGAATATGTTAGTGAGCCAGGTAGGGAAGGAAAAGATAGCTTTGTCTGGAAAATTCCTCCCTTGCCCACACAAATAAAACAGTGTTTCTCCAAAGTTTATTTCTAAAATAAAATATTTCTCTTATAGTTAGGAAATGTAGTTGACCAAGCAACTCCTTTGTCCCTGAAATTTACCTTTCTCTTGGGTTTCTTTCCTTCCAATGATGCTACCAATATGAATAATATATTCTGGTGAACATTGCCTGTCCCCCATGGAGAATGATAGTCAGGGACACTTTTCAAGCAACCGTTAAATCCCCCCAAACAAACACATATTCAGCAACCTACCAAAGTTTCCCCAAGTCTGGCTCTTCCAGAAAAGCATAATACTATGACTTCTCCCATGCCTGGAGAAATCTTGTCTACTACCAAGGCATAGCTTCAAATCTTTTGGTAATATTGATAAGTCTACAATCAAAGCACTATGTGTATAAAGGTCCATGACCAAAGAAACAAAAACAATTGTACTAAACAAAAACAAAAACAAAACAAAAACTAAAAACACAACTAAAGAGAAAGTATAAAGGGAGGAACCAAATATAAATATCTAATTAAATTAAAAAAAATTATAATTGTATTTTATGTCATCAAGATAAAGCATAACATGAAAAGTAAAGCAAGTGGAAAGCAATCATCTTATCATGGAAATAAATGTGCAAAAGTTTCAAATTTTATTTAAGTGTAATTTATTAAATGAAAAGAAATCAAATTTCTTATAATGTATGGCTAAGACAATAAGATTAGTGAACTTAAAGAGTTAATAAGAGAAACTAATGAAAATTAAAAACAAAAAAGAATGAATAAAAAATGGAGAATCAGTCACCTGTGATACAATTTGAAATGGCCTAATATAAGTGTAATTATAATCCTAGAAAAAGAGAGAAGACAAAGAAAATATTTTTAAAAATTATGGTGGAAATTTTTCCCTAAAATTCAATGAAAACTATAAATTCAGACATCTAAGAAGCCCAACACACCCAAAGAACAATAAATACAAACAACAACAGTAAAACAAAGAATAATAAAATTCTTCAAGCCAGTGATAAAGATCTTAAAAGTAATTAGTGTAAAAATATATTCAGTATAAAGAAGCAAAGATAAGAATAACAATGGACCATCTTGTTGGAAACAATGCAAACTAGAAGGCAATAGAAAAACAGCATTTCAGACTGGGATTTGGGGAAAACTATCATTCTAGAATTCTCTATTCAGGAAATCTCTGGGCTGGGACTGTAGCTCAGTGGTAGAGCCCTTGTCCCTCACATTGAGGCTCTGGGTTTGATCCATATAAAAAATAAAGCCCCACATAAAAATAAATAAATAAAGATTATGTTCATCTATAACTAAAATGATATTTTTTTTAAATGAAGGTAAAATAAAGGCTTTGTCAGATATACAAAAGCCAAAATAATTCACAACCAGCAGTACAAGCAATGTTAAAAGGAGTTCTTTAGACATAAAGAGAAATAAAACCAGATTGGTATCTGGATAAACAAAGAGTAATGAAGAGCACTGAGAATAAATTATGGAAACATACATTAGAAATTTTGCTTCTTTTTCCAAGACTCTTTAAAAGGTAATTGGCAAGCTGGGCGTGGTGACACACACCTGTAATCCCAGCCGCTCTGGAGGAGGCTGAAGCAGGAGGATTGTGAGTTCAAAGCCAGCCTCAGCAACAGCAAGGTACTAAGCAACTCAGTGAGACTCTGTTTCTAAATAAAATACAAAAAAAAAAAAAAAAAAAAGGCTGCCCCTGGATTGAATCCCTGGTACCCTCCCCAAAAAGATAATTGACAGTTTAAAGAAAAAATAACAACAACAAATTGGGGGTTATAGTATATGTAAAAATACATGATGTCTAGAACAGAGGTCAGAAGACAGAAGATGAAAAAGAATAGAGGGAGTATAAATCACTTGAAAGCAGATTGGAAGAAGAAAATGGTATATATTTTATCTAAATAATCAGAAGAAAAACTAAAACTAAAATTAAATCCATAAAAATGTAATAATAAAAATACTCTATCCAAAGGAAAGCAGAAAAAGAGAGAGGAAAGGAATAATAGGCAAACAGAAAACAAATATCAAATGGTAGATTTAAACCCAACCATATGAATAACCACATCAAATGTAAATGATATACACATACCAATTAAAAAGGCAGAGATATTAGACTGAAATTTTTTAAGCTACCATTGTATGTTGTCTAAAAGAAACTGGCTTCATATAAATAAATAAGTTAGAAGTAAAAATATGGGAAAGAATGTCCTATAGAAGAATTAATTAAACAAAGTTGGAATGGCTATATTCGTAGTAGATTTTGATCAAGGAATATTGCCATTGAAAATAATATTCCTGAGCAAGAAATATTACCATGAGAAAATAGGACAAGATCAGAAATCAATAAAATAATTAAGAATCAATTAAATCAATAGCTGGTTCATTGAAAATACCAATAAAATTGATAAATCTACTGCTACATTGATCAAGAAAAAATTAAAGATACAAATGGCCAATGTCAGAAATGAAAGAGGATGCAGTGTAACAGTCCTATATACATAATAATGGTATAATAATTTTATGTTAAAAAATGTCATTGACTTAAATGCAGTCAACATATTGAAAGAAGAAAACTATCAAAGCTCACTCACATATATTGGTGAAATGAATATATGAAGAGACCCATAACTACTATGAAATTGTAATTAAAATTCTTCTCACAAAGGAAACACCATGCCCAAATGACTTCACTGGAGAATTTTATGAAACATTTAAGGAATATTTATACCCAGTCTACACAAATTCTTCTAGAAAATTGACAGGCTGAGGGAACTTCTCAACTCACTCTATGAAAACAGTGCTATCCTGATACTAAACCCAGAAAAAAAAAGACATTAAAGGGAAGAAAAACTATAGACAAATATCCCTTTACAAACATAAATGCAAAAATTCCCAGCAAAATGTTGTTGAATTGAATCCAATAATATGAAAACTGGTTAGAAGTACAATGTTATTAGAATGTTGATATTTTAATTGACATATTAGAGTATCAATACAATTGATAAAATGTTATATTAATATAACAACAAAGAAAAATGACCCAATGCAACAAGAAACATGCCAAAAACTCCTAGAAAATTCAACCTAGAAAGGATTTTTCACAACTTAACGAAGGGCATTCTACAGAAGAACCTACAGCTAAAAACACACTTTATGGTAAAAGTCATACTGTTTTCTCTTTAAGATAAGGGGGATGTCCACTCTCAGCATCTCTATTCTACATTGTACTGGAAATCCATACAAGGCAATAAAACAAGAAAAAGAAATATATCTATCCACACCAAAAAGCAAGAAGCCAGTTGTGTTTATTCAGAGATGACATGATTATCTGAAGAATCTACAAAAAGAAAAGTGCTGAGAGCCACGGCTGAGTCTGTATGGCCCCTGGCATTTTGCCAACAGTATTGATTGACAGGCGAGGCATTACTATCCGCCTCTGCCGCAACTTTTGAGTTCTCGCACTATTTTGGAGTTCTCGTGGGGATTTCCGGGGATTCCCCGAGAGTTCCCATTGGTTGGCGAAGTGCAGGAGGAGGGATTTTCCGGGAGAGATATTTCCGGCTGGGGGTTCCTGGACAAGCCTCGTGGCGTTCAGGACGATTCCCCGGGAGCTGTGTGAAGTGTTTTCCTACAGTTTAAAAATAAAGTTTGTTCCTGCTTCAGTGGCTAGTGATTTGTGCCCAGCCAGACTGCGGCATTTGGTGGCCCGTGCGGGGAACGTCTGAAGCTTCGGGGTAAGTGAAATTACTTGCCCCTAAGGGAAGGCGAGAGAATGGGTGACCATTTTAAAAAACAATGTGTTCTTGTTTTGATTTGTTTTGTGTTTGTTTCAAGCTGCCTATCCCTAGATTTTTCTCAGGCAGATTGGGAAAAATGGTTGGTTCAAGGTTTGAAGTTGTTCGCCCCTGAGGAAGAGATAGAAATAGACCACAAATGCACATATCAAGAAAATAGGAAAATTGATACAACGATTTTTTGTTCCGTTT